CCAGAAAGAATTTTACCCATTTACCCATTTTTACCCATTTCCTGATATATGGCTGCCATGTGATGTAAAAAAGGATGTTGAGACTCTAGAAAGAGTACAGAGAAGAGCAACAAAGATGGTTAGAGAAGTGGAGGCTAAAACACATCAATAACGGTTGCTGGAATTGGGTCTGTCTAGTTTAATGAAAAGAAGGACTAGGGGTGCCATGACAGCAGTGTTCCAATATCTAAGGGACTGCCATAGAGAAGAGGGGGTCAACTTATTCTCCAAAGCACCTGAAGGCAGGACAAGAAGCAATGGATGGAAACTAATCAAGAAGAGAAGCAACCTAGAACTATGAAGAATAATTAGAACATTAGTTAGTTGTTCCACTGATTAATTAGTTAGAATCAGTTGTTCCACTGATTAATTCATTAGAACAATTAATCAGTGGAACAACTTGCCTCAGTTGTGAATGCTCCAACACTGGAAGTTTTTAAGAAGAGATTAGACAACCATTTGTCTGAAGTGGTGTAGGGTTCCTGCCTAGGCAGGGAGTTGGACTAGAAGACCTCCAAGGTCCCTTCCAACTCTATTATTTTGTTAGTTATTTTCTGTTGCCAACACTAGCATGGAAGGAAGCTAAATTACTGAGTGTATGCGTGTGTGTGTATGTGTGTGTGTGTGAGAGAGAGAGAGCAAGAGAGAGTGAGTGAGTTGTAGAATATTTTGGATTCATTCTGCATTTATATTCAATCTTCGGATTTAATGATTTTGCTGTATTCAAATGATCAGGTTTTTTTTTTTTACAAAAAAATGTCTCTGTCATTTGTCATTCCACAAAGAATGATTTATGCTGATCATTATTTACATCTGTCCTTAATTTAAATTATTGATTCACCCAATTCACTTTAAAATGTCTGTTACAAATGCTCCATCTGATATTTAGCACTGAAAAAATGTGGCTTCTTATAATATACCTAAAAAGGAAAGAGGCCAATTAAGATGACCAGATTTTAACAAGACTTAAAACTTGAAGGATTTTCATATGTTTAGCCTTAGAAGGAAAAGTCTGAGAGAAACATGACTGTAATCTCTAAGGCAAATACTTAAGGAGTTGTTCAACAGCCCTTATAATCATGTTTCTACAGTCTGAAGTATTTGACCAGTTCAGGAAATAATACCATTAAATCAATATTCTCGTAAGGACTGACTGACTTCACATATGGTTGGTATAAAAATGGGTTGGAGATGGCGGAATTCAAATTTTTTTACTACCGGTTCTGTGGGTGTGGCTTGGAAAAACAAATCTCAACTGGCTGGTTTCATAAGTAATGCTAACCAACCTTCATTAAACTTGTCTTATTGGGTGGAAAATTCTGATTACTGAAGTTAGGTGATGTGAATGTTGCCCACATGGATGAAGTTATACTAAATCAGAAGCCCTGGCTTGCTTCATACATTGCATTTAGCTAAAACTGAACAAAAAGTTCATATCTGAGCGATATGACATCTGATGCCTTGGACCAGATGTCTCCCAAATCTCCTTTAATTCTGAAATTCCCTGAATAGATTGTCTTCAGAGTTTCAAGTCAAGCAAAAGTGGCTTATATAAAGCATGAACAAATATACATTTTACCATATGCCAACATTCGCTTGAAAATGCTGTGGATTTAGAATGGGTCTCAAACAGTCTGCTAAGAAATGTTTTCTATCTTCATTGTAGGAAGTTTTGCAATAGCAAACACAGAGCCAGGGTAACAGAAAGAGGTGAGATTATGTCAGGACCTTATTCAAATCTGGGAGGGTTGGTTTAACCAAAGGAACCTCAAACTCATCAACATCCCCAATGTATGAAGTAGATTTTCCTATGAATAATCAGCAGGGACTACCCTTTTCAATACCACATAATTAACATTGCAAGACAGATGGTTTGATTTTATCATGCAGTTGAGACTCATCAGAAATTTAAAAAAATGCCTAATTCAATCTCTCCAAAGAAGATCATGAACATGGAACTATTATGATTCTCAATCAATGACCTAAATTACTCCTCTATTGAAGATGGAAATGTACATTTCCACAAGTTCCAGTTTTTCCGATCTAAGAAAGAAACTGCATCAAATGTTACCTAATCTGGTATATTTTATTAGGTCTATATTTTTATGCAACTGACAAAATTCACAAATTCACACATCCTCAACTAATGAGCAGATCAAAGTGCAGTTATCTTTTGGGTTGTGAACTTGTGTTTTGTAATCCAGCACTATATTTAAAAATTGCAGACCGAGTGTTGAAAGATATTGCCTAAAGGCTGTACATTAGAGGAAAACACATAAAAAAGCATAACCAGTGAAAATTGTTAGAAAACTATTAGTTTTACAGGCCTTGAGTCAGTAACGTGTGTGTGTGTGTGTGTGTGTGTGTGTGTGTGTATTACTGACTCATTACTGACTATGTATATATATCTCAATAAAAGTAAATAACACATATGCCTTGCCATAAGTTTATAGAATTAAAGGGTTAGAAGGAAGGGATTTTGAAGACATGATGTAACCATCAAGTCCAATGGACCAGTGCTACAGAAATTTTAGTATAAGAAATACGATTGTCTAAGCACATAAGAAAGCAGGGTTTTTTTCTTCTGTACATTATACAAGCAAGTGATCAGGTTCTCGGCTACAAACATAGTAAAGAACACATGACCAAATCACTGTGTTAATTTTATTTGGCTAACAAATTTATGCTTCACGTCTTTAGCCTCTTTCTCTCTTTCCTGCTACCCACCTTTGAGCCTGAAAAAGCACCAGCACAGAGACATGAAATATAATTCTGGACTACCGAAACAAAGGTCTGTCTGTCATCTCCCCAGTTATTTGTAACCTCATAGCTTTTTGTCAAACACAATAACCACGTGCATAACATCATAATATATGCACACCAGCCAAGGTTTGGTTAATCGAAACATTATAGTACCAATACCTTGAATTTAACTGGTACAATCCAAAAAATAAGTTTTTAAATAGATCTTAATCTATGGGCAGGTTTATCCAATTGTCCTAATTCATCTATTAGTTCTGAGCAATTGATCTGGAGTAAAAGGAAAGGTCATCTTGTGATTTTAGACTCTAAACTGGAGTCCAGGAAAATGCTGCTGGACAAGGCAACCATTATGTTATACTATATCATTCTAGAAGGGTTCTGACAGTAAGAAGGGTAGTTCACCTTTAATTTTGCCTGTTTTTTTTCCTGCCCAGCCAATTCCTCTGCCCTATGAGATCACTTTTCTGGGAAATATAAATCATTATAGAGCAGTGTTTGTCAAGCACGGTAACCTTTAATATGCATGGATCTCAATTCCCAGAATGAAGTCCATGCATCTTAAGATCTCCAAGTTTGACAAACAAAGCTATAGGATAAGAATATACTATTATCTTGTAAGATATATTGGCACCATTGGCTCTTCTAAGTTTGTGCACAAAGGCACAGAGAAGATGGGAGAAAGAGTTCCTGGAACATGACCACTGATATTATCTTCTAGGGTAGACTTTGATGTCTCTGACACCACCTGCTCCGCTGTATGTCATCTCAGGGAAGAAGCTAAGAATTTGAGCACCATTTGGGTTCAAGAAAATATGAGAGCTTTTCTCTGTTGTGCAGTAATTTCCATATTAACTATTCTGTTGGATGGAATCAGCATCAACCGCAGTGAAAACAAAAACATCTAGACATTCTAAGTTCCCTCGAGTATCTTTATAGTTGACAGATCCAGCAAGATAAAGAAGGTAAATGTTTGAGTTGAGCTGAGGAGGGTGCATGATTAGGAAAGAAGCAGGCATAGTTTAGGGAGTTTCTAGATGCATGGTATCTCAAGCTATTCTCCAAAGAACCTGAGGGCAAAACAAGAAGCAATGGGTGGAAACTAATCAAGGAGAGAAGCGACCTAGAACTAAATCTAGGTTGCAACCTAGAACTAAATCTAGGTTGCAACCTAGAACAGTTAGAACAATTCACCTGACAGAACAATTAATCAGTGGAATAACTTGCCTCCAAAAGTTGTGAATGTTCCAACACTGGAAGTTTTTAAGAAGAGATTGGACAACCATTTGACTGAAATGGTATAGGGTTTCCTGCCTAAGCAGGGGGTTGGACTAGAAGACCTCCAAGATCCCTTCCAACTCTGTTTCTATTCTATTCTATTCTATTCTATTCTATTCTATTCTATTCTATTCTATTCTATTCTATTCTATTCTATTCTATTCTATTCTATTCTATGTCTATATGTATCCAGTATGCCAGAGATTTTAAAGAACTTAACATAGCAACCTTGTTGAAGCTAACATCAAGAAAGGACTCTTTGAAAATCTGTGGGCCTAGTATGCATACAAATTTAAGTCAGACTTGTCTCCTAGTGAAAACCAAGTTCATGCAGTTTTCTGGGCAGTATTTCCAAAAAGGGTTACCAATGCATTCTTCTTAGCCTGAGGGAGACTGACTGGCCCCAAATAATCTACAGTAGTTAGTTTCCATGCTAACTAAGGTTTCCTTTAGTCCAAGATAGCTCAATCTAATCTAATCTAATCTAATCTAATCTAATCTAACCATCTAATCCTATTTCAATGCAATGTGTTTAAAAACAACCCATCTTAAACAGAGAGCTGTTCAATCTGTTTAAGCTCAGCAAGGACTGGATTAACTTTCAGAGCCAACAGCTTCTGTTTGGGTGAACCAACCCTGAATTTCCATCAAAACATCTATATAAAATTGCAGTACACACCCAATAACTTAATCCCCAACTTTCATAGCAATTAAGGGGAGAAAGATCATTGCTGTCTTATTTATTTATAAATTTGCTTGCAGAACATAAAGGAGAAATGTATGATCAAATGGCGAATAAACAAGAAGAAAAGAATCTAGAAAAGGGGGTGGATGCGATTTGGAAAAAAGAAGCTTGTTTGATAAAATATCAGCACCACATGCCTGCTTTTAAGCAATAATGTGTTTATATTTATAACTCTTACCTCGATTCCACCTGGGGGGCACAGTGCCATGAGCATTATAATACAGCAAAAACAGGAACAGCATCTTCCAGTGCATTGCAAATTTCCCAAAGCAGAGATTTTTCTGCTTCTACAGTATCTGGTTTCTTGTATGCCAGGACACAGCTGGCTAATCTCTCTCCTCTCTGCTCCTTTTGGAAAATGGGATGAGTATAATGGGGTGAAGTAGCAGCACCTCACTCTAGACTAATTTTCATTAGAGTCAAGGAATTCATTTGCACAGAAGGGCTCTATTTTATATCCGCATCTGGAGTGACTCGTGACGCATGCAAGCTCTCTGGCAGCTGTAGGGGTATATCATTACATTTTTGTTTTGGGTTTCTTTTTTTTTAATAGTTCAGTTCCATTCAGTAGTTGAGCCAGCTGGAAATTTCCCTTGTGTCAACAGACAAAAGTAGCTGTATAAAAGAACACTATTAAATCTTCAAGGCCACTAGCTCCTATGCACATATTTCTTAGTGATCATTACCAAGCCTGTGCTCCTTGAACAAGGCATTGACAGTTCTGGTATGCCAAACCCAGGGCTGGAGTGTGTTCATTGAAAGAATGCTGCATGCTTACAGGACCAATTTGTTTTTACTGAGCACAATAACATGGAACAACTTTGCCAAGCAGGTCAAAGTTGGATGGTTGATATGAAGAAGAAAATACTTGACATAGACAGGGACATTCTAATATAATCTTTACCTGTGGGTTGAAAACTAAACCAAGATTGTGTTAGTTTTCTTACTACATGTAATCCAAAGAATGGCAATGAGGTGGTTATATATTTGTAAGCCTCAGTTATTTCTTGTCTAACACACATTTAAAAATATGGTTAATTCTTTCCCATTATGTTCAGTAAGGCTTGTTTTTTTTCCATTCAAAATCAAAGAAAAGTGCAGAAAGCAGTGGTGTGGGGTGATTAAAGAAATGAAGAGTTACCCTGTGGTAAGATGGATGGCCAATATATTCTGTAAATAAATAAAGAACAAGGAAAGTGACATGATAGCAGTATTCCAGTATTTGAGGGGCTACCACAGAAAAAGGGGGTCAACTTATTTTCCAAAGCACCAGAAGTCAAGACAAGAGACAATGGATGGAAACTAATCAAGGAGAAAAGCAACCTGGAATTAAGGAAAAACTTTACAACAGTGAGGGCAATTAACCAGTGGAACAGTTTGTCTTCAGAAGTTATAAGGGCTTCATCACTGGAGGTTTTTAAGAAAAGAGTGGACCTATTTGAAATGGTATAAGGTCTCCTGCTTGAGCAGGGGGTTGACTAGAAGACCTCCAAAGTCCCTTCCAGTTCTATTCTGATTGATTGGATATTCAAGTTCAAGACTATCCTTAGCCTTGGTGGTTCAGCTGACAATTTTGAGCCAAAAGTCTCAACCCAGTCTACAGATTTGTTGTTGTAAGGAATAATGAAAAAGGTCGTGTTATTTGTGAATATTGTTCCAATAGACAACCTCAATCAAGTAAGCAATAAACTGTTAGTCTCAAACCATTCCTTAAAACTAATTTCATGTCATCCTCTCTAGTAATAATACAGTGTAAAAGACAGGAGTTGAATAACATATCATAAAATCAATGTAAACTATGATTAAATATAATAATAAAAAGGAAGCTCAGTACTTTATACCTTTCCATGATTTTTAAGCCTCCTTGAAAGCTGCTAAACAAAATTCTGATGTGAGATTTCATAATCTTTCTTTGGATGAAGATAATTTACAAAAAAAAGGTCATCCAGTGACATAGGAACTTGTTATTATTATGAAAAGAAGGTTTGTATTGAGGGACTAATTTCTTAAACCTAATTCTGTGAAGTGCACGCTTAGCAAACTGGTTGTTAAATCAGTTGCAGCTCACCACTGGTTTGAATCCAGAGTTAAATATCCTCTTGTTTTAATCTTTATTAGTTCTGTCTCTAAGTAGAGTGCTTCACAACACAACACTTGGACTCTTTCCTTGGAAATGTGATCTGCCTTGTTTTTGGTAGAAGTGCCTAATTTCTTAAACCTAATTCCATACCACAGAGGAATATTGCTAAGGGTTTAACCACAACAAGGATGATGACAACTGAATCATAAATGTTTCAGCCAATAGCAGTATCTGGGCTGGGCTTGCCTGGGCTCTAAGGCAGAGTAGGTATAGTTTATTACTTAGATGGGAGACCACAAGGAAACACTTAGTTGTAGGATGAACTGGAAAATTGAGAGACATTCTAGAAGACCTGAGTAAGCCACATCTCAGTACTGTTCAGGGGTGAGATTCAAATTTTTTTAACAACCAGTTCTGTGGGCTTGGTTAGGTGGGCGTGGCTTTTTTTGCATCCCCCCCCCTCCTGCACTCTGTTTTTGGGTCTCCTGGGTCTCAGGGAAGCCTCCTTGGCAGGGGGGAGTTTTTGCACCAAGGAAGCTTCTCTGAGGCTCAAAAAGGCAAAAAAAATGGAGCGTGGGGGGGGGGACGATGCAGTATACCCCCTCCATGTGCCCCTTTTTGCCTCCTGGGCCTCAGGGAAGCGAGGGGGATCCCGGCACAGCTGATCGTCAGAACAGCTGATCATTGGGAGGAAAAGAAAAAAAGAAATATCTTAACGAGTGACTGGATGGGGGAGAATACAGTCAGCGATGTCGGGCATGCGTGCGATGTGACGCATGCGTGATAAGGACTGACTGGACAAGGAGGGGAGGGATGGATGGAGAGGGGTGGGTCCAGCCAGGGGCATGATTTGCCAGTTCTTCAAAATGTGCAGAATCGTAACAACCGGTTCTATAGAACTGGTCTGAACTGGTAGAATCCCATCCCTGTTACTGTTGCCAGGATAGCTGCCTGGTTGAGTTCATGTAGTTGCCAAGAGTCAAACACAATCCAAGATCACCTTCATCTTTATGTTTAAATGAGTAATACCTTCATATTATTTTATCTCCCACTCTGCCTGATACAGCTGGTTCTACATCAAGCTTTCTTTGCAATTTTAAAACTTCAGAATTAATGATGCAGCAGGACTACAATTGCAAAGAAGGGAAATCAAATTCAGTCAATTTTCTTGGACTAATGGATACCTGCCAAACTCTGAAGAACGTTTAGTATCTAAAAGTTAAAATATGATTTTCATTGTTAAAGAAGAGGGAAGCAAAACCAACACAACTTTTTCCTTTGAGATGTTCGCTTCTCAAAACATTCAAGTATAGCCTATACCGACAGAGTAAACAAGGTAGCAAATTTAGGGCGGTGTTTTAATTCCACCCTAAACTTTGAATGATGGAAAGATATTACACATCCTTCTCAACCTCATTCCACTTGTTTCCAGAGGTTTAACACCTAACACTGGATACTTTGTGAAGGAAAAAAAAAATGAGTGCTGCCTTTCATTCCTGTCATCCAGAAACTGACAGCACATTCTCTGCACGTAGCTGGAAGGGTGTGGACAATGCCATGTAAAGAAGCAAAGTAACTTTTCCAAGAAAGATGTGAATGAACCTTCAGTCTGTCAATTCAGCAGTTGCTCAGCTACTCTGCTCAATATACAACCCTGGCAGGCAATTACACTGTGGTGATCATTGGTATGTAAGTAAACAAAATGTTGGAAATATGGAGTTGTGATACTAAAAATATCACAGAAGAAACATGTATGCATCCTTCCATATTTCCAGTCAAAATATAATATTTTGAGTGAGTAATTGGAAAGTCCCATGTTAATAGTGCAAAATATACCATTTCATATTCAGAAAGCATAACTATGTTTTTCTGCTGAATCTAATCAAATTTGTAGTCTGTTAGTTTTCTTGTTTGAAACCCTTTGTCACAGGGACAGGACTTGTACAACACACTTAAGCTATGGCTTACTTAATTATGGTTTATTGAATAAGCCCCACTTGGCTGGGTTCACATAACACATAAAGCCATGAGTTTTTTAAAAAATGGGCTATTATGTCCTGAATTAACACAAGATGCTAACTCAAAAACCATGTATTGCAAAGCACAGTGACTAGTACCATAGAGTTTAACATGTTTCATAAAATCAGATAGGAAGTTGACTTATATCAAGTCTGACAATTTGTCTGTCCAGTACAGTATCTAGTACACATCTATATAAATGGAGCAGCTGTGCAGGATCTTGTTGGATCAGGTCTACCATTTTAGTTTTCATGCTGGCCAACCAAATCCCCCTAAGCAATATACAGACGCATCCTTTTAAAATACTCATTGGCTTGGAATTTGAAGGCAAGCCACCTCCAACCCAGAGGCAACAGTCTAAACCAATCCATTGAATCCAATCCATTTTGGACATTATATTGTTTTGTACTATGCAAAGCATTGCTTTATTTTGTTCCAAATCTCTTTCCAGTCAGTTTTGTTGATGGCCCTGATCCATAGCTTTTGAAAGAAGAAGAAAAACTTTTTATGCCTTTCATCTTGTCGTGCAAAGTAAGATCTCCATCACTGAAGTGTAGTACTTCTAAGTGTTTCTGAATTTAGCGGCAAAACATTAATGTCATCCTCACTTCCATTTAGAAGTATGTTTTATCATTCTTTTATTAGAAAGAACCAGTTTATATTATATGGCAATCATGGTAAAATGTCATTTTTGTTTCACAATCATTTGCTGCTTGAATTTCAGCTTGTATCTCTTTAAATAAGTTGTCAACTGTTTTCTTTAAAGAGGATTTAGTATAGGCTTTCATTCACAAGTAACTGTTATGAAAACAATAATGGTACAAGCACATTTTCATTGTCTACTATTTTAATTCATGATTGCTTGGACTCATGGATTTATGGTCTTAAAGATAAATAAACAGGAATTTACTGCTCTTTGGAAATATATTATGTAATATGTAAATTCCTCTAAATTGCCCTAATATTGAAATGGCAATGTAGTTGAAAAATAAATAAATAAAAACACTGGTAAAATGGACATCCTAAATCAAAGTTGACAATTATCTGGAAACTGGGATTTCTAACATTCCCCTAAGAATTGTCTCTTTAGACATTTTATAGCAACCAGCAAAGACGGAGGCTTGGCGTTTCCTTCTTTGTTTCTGAACTCTTTCCCAGATGTTTGAAAATTAGGAGCCACACTGTGATTTGACCAAGTTACAGAAACAAAACTACAGCCCTCAATTGATTTGGAAAAGCTAATATACTTGGGGGGAATTGGCTTTCATTTTTTTTTTATTTTTGAAATGTTGAAAAGTCACACACACACACATATATATA